AAGCAATCAGTCATTTTGCACATACTATAAAATCTCCTACGAGTCAGGACAATTATAAAACACTTAAAGACATGCCTTAGAATTTTGATACCAGCATTTATCTGTCCCGAGGTGACATACCAAAGGAGAAAAAGCACATCAACAAAAACTTTGGTTACTAACCGGAAAACCAATGTTCATGCTTGTTTGCATTTAAAAGCAAGAGCAAAGAAACGATCTGAATTGTAAAGGCTAACACATTATCTGATCAGCAAGAAGTGGCACAGCCACTTCTCGAAGAATCAAAAGCCTAGGCTTGGAGTCAATATTTCAACTGGACACATTTCCACAGATTCTAGAAGGGAACATAAACGTCATCTTCAGCATACAGGGGTTGGAACTGTCTAAGGTGATTGTGTAAACATATGGCGGTTAGGGAGAGGTTGCAAATTCCCAACTGAGGAATAAACCTCCCTAAAGCCTGTGGCTGAATGTAGCTACTTCTCTGTTCCTTCCTCCCCAGACCTGGTAGTTATTGAAAAGTCTGGATGGTAGCAGGAAAGACGGTCATAACTTGGATGTGTTGGTAACCCAAAAATATCAGAAAATCCTCTTACCATTTTCAAGGAATGTTCTATTTTACCTAGAGGCAACAGAGTTAGTAACGATGTTATCTGCATACAAGCATCAACCTTGAAAACAATGAGTTCATATAAACTGAAGCACCAGATAGCGCCCAGCCTCTGTCACAGCCCATCATGGAAAGCCATCTGAATACCAGAGCAATTTCTTTCTTATAGCTCACATTCTGAGACAGAAATTCTCAGTCTCTATTTAAGCTCTACTTTCCTAAATCTGACTGTCTCATAATTCAAGACTTGGAGTAACCGGCCAGTAGGTGGACATGGGTAGAAAAGATGACTCTTTGGAATGCTGAGTAAAAACTCTGATGATATAAGTTGTTGTGAACAAGCAATGAATGAAGGTTAAAATGAAATGTCATCCTTAATACTTGTGACTGTAGGGCTTTAGATTGCTACCTCAAAATGCAACATTTCATGACACTTGGCGTACTCAGGAATCAAGTCACAAGTCAATACCCAAAGTATAACAGGCTGTAAGTGTCGGAATTTCATCTTTGCTATGGCTGAATAATACGCTATTCTCTATATGTTTTTCACTTATCCACAGATGGACACTTTGCTGGACCCCACACTTCGACTATTATTAATAGTGATGCAATGAACATGGAAACACAAGCCTCCTATGATAGACTGACGTCATTTCCTTTGAAATAAACAGGTGAAACAGAAAAAACAAACACTACATATTCGGTATCTTCAGTAGAACATTTTTTTTAAAAATGTAACTAAATTAACAACAGGCATTACTACTGGCTAGGAAGGGTGGAAGATATGGGGTTAGAATTTTGGTGCGTAGAATTAAAATTAGGTTAGATAAAGAGGTTCCAGTTAAATAAAAACTGAAATCTGGGGCCCGGCAAAGTAACCTAGTGGCTGGGTCCTTGCCTTGCAGTCATGGAGATTCCAAATGGGCTATGGATGCACATGTTCCGGATGCTCCATGTCCCATCCAGCTCCCTGCCTGTGGCCCAGGAAAGCAGTAGAGAATGGGCTAAAGCCTTGGGACATGAACCCAAATGGGAGATGTTTCTCTCTCTTTCTCCTTCTCTCAGTGAATCTGCCTTTCTAATAAAAATAAATGAATAGAGAGAAAGCAAAGGAAAAGAAAAAACAAGGAAGAAAAGGGAAGGAAGGAAGGAAGGATGGATGGATTTCCTGTCTTCCTCCTGATTCCCAGCTTCAATACTTCTCTTTCCTGAAACACCTCTAATACTCCCAACGGACACTGAGTTTCTTCCTTTGATATGGAAGCGCCTTATCTCTTTCCCCACCAACAGCAAATGAATTTTCAGTCGGAAGATTTGGTTCTGGTTCTGTTCCATAATTTACACTCTGGGTGCCAGCACTGTGGCCAAGAGGGGTAAGCTACCAACTGCGGTGCCAGCACCCAAACGAGTACCTGACAGCGTCCCAGCTGTTTTTTTCCACTTTCAATCCAGATCCCTTCTAATGTACCCAGAAAAGCAGCCCATGATGGCCCAAAGAGTTGAGCCTCTTCCATGTAACATGTGACAGAGGAAGCTCCTGGCTCCTGGCTTCGGCCTGTACCAGCTCTGGCTACTGCGATCATCTGGGGAGTGAAAAGGGCGAGTGGAAGATTCTCTCTCACCCTTTCTCTCTTTCTCTTTGTAACTCTTTAAATACATCTTTAGAAAACTTTTCATTGCAAAAAACTAAAACAGCCACAATCTGAATGAAAGACATAACCATACAAGCATTTACAAGATTCATTCATTTTTTTTTTTACAAACTTTACCATAGGAGATGTAAAGGAAAGAAATCTGACGGAATCATATTAAACGTAAAGGGCTAAAAAAAAAAGTCACCTTTCTCCTGTGCTTTTATTTTTTCCTACTGCAGATTTTGGAAAGATGCACATCTCCTAAATATCCATCACGGCACTCTATGGGTAATTTTTGAAATGTATACAACAAATAGGTGAAGGTTGGTGCTGTAACCCAGCCTGTGCCTGGAATACCTGTAGCCCAGTTCAAGTGGCAGGAGTTCCACTTTCAGTCCAGCTCCCTCCTGGGGGCGGGGAAAGCCATGGAAGATGTCTCAAGGGCTTGAGCCCCTGCATCCATGTGGGAGACCCCGAAGAAGCTCCTGGCTTCAAACCTCAGCCCAACTCTGGCCACTGCAGCCATCCGGGGAGTAAACAAATGGATGGAACATCTTTCTCCATCTCTCGTCTCTGTGTAACACTACCTTTTTTTAAATAAATAAGTAAATCTTAAAAAAAAAAGTTTGACTACATTCATCAAGTCCGCAGGAAGAATGCTCATTATTACGTGCTAAATATAAAAGACCAAAATCTACCTTCAATCTCATTGTTGGTTTCTTCCCCATCATTCTGGCTAACCCAGGTAAGTCCTCACTCCTTTTTTATATGCCATGAGCATTACTGGTGGCAAGTCTCTCTCTAAACCATCATCTTGCGTGTTCTCTGTCAGCTGAAATCTGACTCATCCTTGTATATTCACATAAAATGCTATATTTTCTAGGAAGCTTCCCTTAATCCTTACTATTAGAAATGATGACTCCTCACTCTGAATTACATAGTATTGCTCATTTTCCTCATAGCTCTGACAATATAAATTTCCTTGTGCCAATATCCGCCAAATCTATTTAAATCACACTAAGATTAGAGCTTTTACTTATCTTTATATTCCATCAAACACACTGCAGAAAATCTTACACAACAGTACTACAAAAAGTTCGTGAAAAACAGGAGTAAACGTTGCTTAATTCGATGCAACATTTATTTTAAATATATGCATCAGTCTATGATTTGTAATTTTCAAGGACTTTGATAGAGGTATTCAAATATTCCTACAACTTGCCTTCCATATAACCGGTACACAGTTATGATGTAGCTTAAATTTCCAGCTACACTCGTTTGCCTAACCAACTGCCACCAAAGCATGATAAATCCTATAAAATTACCATGTATCATTTCAGGTCATTATAACTTCACATTCTTACCAAAACAGTATATACGAGCTAAAATATGATTGCAACACTATCAAAGTTATAGATCCATAAACCACTCCTAACCTCCTTTCTGTAGCATGTTCTTACAGACTGAATTTTTTTTTTTTTCATTTTACGGGATGATTGCTTGAAAAAAAAAATGAAGTAACACAAAGTGACTTTTGGTCAAAAAAATTAAACAAGATTTCTGAAGACAATCAGAGGTTAAAATGTTAACACAACCACATGTAATGATAACAACACAGATTTTGTAACAGGCACGCGACAGAAGCCTCACCTCTTAGGAATATTGAATCAACACAGAATCCTGAACACCTGCTACCATTTATGCCCTAGGCTAAGTACACACGTAATTTATGGACAGTCGGCCAACAGCTATCGCTAGAAATATTCAACAAATGTACCTTCTCGTCAAGCAAGGGCTCGCTGATCTCATTAAAAACTGCACTGCTTCCTGCACCCCAGATTCCTTTATTACATTAGCAGTTTTTTCACTCCTTAGTATTTCCAGGGTTTTTATGGGCTATCTTGCTTCTTGGTCCTTAAACCCTCCCCTCCTCTACAAATGACTAGTTTACTCAGCGCCTTTAAATTCTGAGCTAAAACCAAGTGTCTTAATGCAAACTGTTTTCCTATTCTCGATTGAAATAAACAACCGGATATTCATTACTTTCACCCCTGTCCCTTCATAACATGTGTCCCTCACGCTCCCAGCTTGCAGATGTGTAAGCTGTCCTATGAACCGTCTCCAATGGCTTCACTACGGATGATGTGATCTACGCTAATAATGACCACCACGCCACAAGGATGACAACGTCAAGCGGATGACAGAATGGCTAAGAGGGAACAGCATGGGCAAACGGGGAACCTGTATTGTTGATGCTAAGGCGTTGATTAGTACTCCTTACCCTGCGCGGGAACAGGAACTGGACTTGTGGCTAAAAACACCTGGATTAATTGGACGCATCTGTATCCAATGTCTTGTGAAATGAGGATGGGGGTGGGGGGAAAGAGTATATCAGGAGAGGTGAAGGAGCAATAACGGAACACTCTGCAGAGACTTCCACCATCACTGGTCTCCTGTCGGTGCTTCATCCCCAGGCCCTCTCCCTGTCCACGTTACTGGCTCGGCCGGCCGGCCGGCCGCAGCACTGTACACAATGTTATACCAAAACTCTATTTATAACTTTGTAACTACTCTCCAATTGTTTCCTAACATAAATGTGACCACAGTTAAGATGAGAAACAAATTCTAATTTGCGACTGACAGAGGAATTTAAAAAAAGGAAGAAAGAAAAAAAAAAAAGCAAGCCCATTCAAACGGACAAATCAGGCACTGTTTGTGGAAGTTTCTAATGTGACCAAGTCAACAGACACACTCACCTCCGTCAAGTGAGGATTGGGGTTAAAGCCACACAGGTTACACACACTGGTGTGACACTCAGTGCACGTGTTAAAATTGGCCTTTTCTGGAACAGCCAACAGAAGCTCGGTGGTATTGCAAAGCGGACAGATGCTTCTAGCAAGGCCTTGTACTGGAGTCTCTGATGCACATGGCGCTGGGGGTGGTTGTGGAGGTTTCCCAGGTTCCACTTGACTGATGTGTTTTGCAGGTGGTTGAGCTGATGAGGGCTTTGTTGGGCCAGGCTGCTGAGATGGGGACTTCGTTGGGCCAGGCTGCTGAGATGGAGACTTCGTTGGGCCAGGCTGCTGAGATGGGCGCTTTGCAGCTTTTGATGTCCCCACCTGATGAGCTGGGGACTTCCCTGGCCCTGGTTGTTGAGCTGGAAGCTTTCCGAGCCCGGTAGGCTGAGCTGCTGACTTGGGGCCAGTCTGCAGAGGCGAAGGCTTCTCTGACCCAGCCTGCTGAGAGATGGGCTTTGCCGTTCCGGGAGGCTGGGCTGCAGGCTTCACCGTTCCTGGCTGTTGAGCTGGGGACTTGGCTAGCCCTGGCTGTGGGACAGGTGGCTTGGTAGCCCCAGTCTGAGGTTTTTCGGGTCCAGGCTGTTGAGCAGGAGGCTTTCCAGAACTCGCTTGCTGCATAGGGGGTTTGGAGGAGGTTTGCGATACAGGTTTAACAGGTTCTCCCTGTTTGGTCTGGGGCCTGCTTGCATCTCGCTGAAGTGGAGACTTTGACTGATGTGGCTGAGAAATCTGAGTAGCCCCCTGGGCTGGCTTTCCTGTACCTGGAGGCTGTGGTTTGATTCTTTCTGCTGGCTGAGACGTCGTTTTGGGAGAGGCCTCTTGCTGAACAGGGTCTGTAACAGCGGGTCCTGGCTGCCTAGCAACAGGTTTGGATGACTGCTGTAAGGGAGGTTTTGCAGTTCCTTCAGGTTTCCCTTGTTCCTTCTGGACTATTTTTTGCTTCTTGGCAGTTTCTTCCTGCGACGTGTCCGGGTCTGATTTCAAATCAAAGGGGTTGAATTTATTTACAACAGAGGAGACAGCACTTAACGGGTTAACCTCCGAGAGAAAACCAGGCATCATGCTGGATTTGCTCTCTTCCTTAGCATCCGTCCTGGACTTGGATTCTTTCAAGCTAATGGTGGAAGGGCTCCTTCCAGGCAATTTCTGCTCTGACCGGAAAGTGTCTGTAGTTCTGCTTTTGCTGAGACCCGGTTGAATCGGATACCCAGGATCTGGCGGTTTTCCTGGCTGCCTTGGCGGACGACTGCTATCCAACTCCTCTTTCCTAGAAGAACGATGGAAAAAAAAAAAAAAAAAAAAGAAGTGAAAATAATGGAAGTTACGGAAAATAAGAGCCAGGACGTCAATCCTGGTTTATCACATTAAGTGGCAGCAAGTCCATCAGTGGAGTTGTCCCTCTTGCACTTGACCTTAGCAAGGTGAAGACGAGAACCAAAAACAGGAAATTGAACCCAGGCACTGGGATGGAGGATGAAGGTACCTTCGCCACAAGCCTACACGCCTTCTCCCTAAACTGGAAATTTGGTTCTTTGCTACTTTCTTGAAACGGGGAACAATTTTCAGGAAGCATGTGAACCAAACAAAAAGCAGTAATTGTAATGAAGATGTCTACTTAGAATTCTGGGGCCAGCAGGGCAATTCGTGTAGCTGCGGCCTTTGGAACTGACATCCCAAACAAGCGCCAGCTCGCTGGATCCACCTTCCTTCCAATGCAGATCCTAGCTAATGTGCCTGGTAATGAATGCAGCAACCAAACGGGAGACCCAGAAAAGGCTCCTGATTTCCAACCAGCTCAACGCCAGCCACTGTGGCTATGTAAGCAGAGAACCAGCAGATGGAAGATCTCTCTCCCTCCACCTGTCAATGAAAGAAATACATCTTTGCAAAAATGTAACGAAACTCATCATCCTTAACAGAAGCTGAATGGTGCAAGCTTAAGGAAAACCTCGAGAAAGCAATGGTGTTTTGTATTGTTGAACACACCCGTGCAAAAGGATTTACACGTGATCTTAGGCACAAGGCCGAGAAGCAATGTGCAAAGTTTTTTTTTATCCTTTTTTTAATCCAAATACCAGCAGCATTGAGAAAATTACTGACTTTAAACGAAGGAGAAATTGGCCCATTTTCCACTTGATTTTGAAAACTGACATTCGTTATCAAGGCTCCTTGTGACACTATGAGAATTCTGTTAGCAGAAGCCACATGAGTCCTCTTCAAGAATGCTGAGAAAACCAGAAATCAGTCCAGCTTTACTATCTTCCAAAAGCAAAAAGACAAAACAAAACAAAACAAAACAAAAAAAAAAACACTAAATTTTGTGGAAGAAAAATTTTTTTCAATACTCGAATCTTTTTGGGAAAAAAGTCCCATTTTGTTCCAGAAGAGCAATTTTTTCTTTTTAACAGCTAAATCTTAATTTAAATCTTCTAAAGAAATCTGTAAGACTTGCTTAAAGTATCCCGAGATATATCCTGGAATCTAAACAGCAAAAAGCCAGCTGTGATCTTAATTTTTGAAAATTTCTGGTACTTTACTCAAATGAAAAAAAAAAATACGCAATGATCACTTTATCTTGTATTTCATACATCATCAATGATTGCTATTGATAGATTAGGAATATAGCCATTATTGAAATGATATAGCAATGTGACAAGAAATTTTTAAGATTTCTTAAATTAGTAAGCAGATATTAAAGTAAATTTAAAAAATACAAGAAGTAGAGTTTTAAATGCTCATGGTCAAATTACTAAACAAAGTATTTATTATTACATAAATATTTTTGGATCTAAAACCATCCTTCCCTGAAAGATGCTGCAAGATTAAGAATATTCTGGGGCCCAACACAGTAGCCCAGTGGCTAAGTCCTCGACTTGAACGCGCTGGGATACCATATGGGCACCAGTTCTAATCCTGGCAGCTGCACTTCCCATCCAGCTCCTTGCCTGTGGTCTAGGAAAGCAGTGGAGGACGGCCCAAAGCCTTGGGACCCTGCACCCACTTGGGAGAGCAAGAAGAGGCTCTGGGCTCCTGGCTTCAGATCAGCATAGTTCCGGCCATTGCGCCCACTCGGGGAGTGAATCAACAGACAGAAGATCTTCCTCTCTGTCTTTCCTCCTCTCTGTATATCTGACTTGGAATAAAAATAAATAAATCCTTAAAAAGAAAAGCAACAAGAATATTCTGCATTAGAATTAGGCAGCCAATCAATAAATCCTTTGATCTGTGATTTTAGAAGGAACAGTGATTTAGTAGAAAATAAAATGATAGAATCATAAGAAAGTTCCACAGTCTCTGATTCACTTTTTCAAATTTCACCTGCTAATGTACCAGGCTACCAACTTTTTAATTTCCTATTATCCAATGATTAACATGAATAAAGTTTTTTTTTAATACTTCCTTAATGGTGTAAAAATCTGTGTACAGATAGGTATAAGACACGCTAGAAAGCTCAGAAGCCTTTCCTTAGGCAGGGGACTAAAATTATTACGCAAGTTAATTTTCCAAAGTCCCACTTTTGTTTTAAAAACTAAAGGGATGTATTTCCATTTTGGGGAAAACTCATTTTAGCATGTTTCTCGATAGGCCTTGCTGTGTGTCCCCTACTACAAAGAACCAAAGTAAAAAGCAAGAAACACTGTTTTTTGCAGAAAAAGTACCTGGTCAGCTCTTTAGCATCTTCCATAAATGTTCTTAGAGTTGATTCATATAATTTAACTCCCCCTTTTAAGGGACTGCATCCTAAATGTGACTATGCTACGAGTAAGTATTTATACCTTTGGTTGAATTAGCTAGAATACTTTCTTTTAAAGTGATACAAAAATCCCTCTTGTTCATTTCAGCCAACTGTTCTCTCCCAAAAACACTCTTCAACGTATTGTGGCAATTATTTTGTCGCGTTGCTATACTTCTCAATGATAACCATGAATAGGTCATGAAGAGCAAATATTTGTAGCAATAATTCAGCCAGTACTAAGAGCAACCTAGTTGCGCCCGTAATTATAACTGCATACGCTTGCAAACAAATACCAGTTTTACTATGTATATTACAGAACACCCTGATAGAAAACATGGACATATTCCTAAGGACCGTCCCACAGTTTTATTTGCTATTTTAGGTGCATCAAAATAAAGCACAATGTCTATAAGTGGGAAATAGGAACAATATCATTTAGAGAAGCTATTGGCTTAATAAAGAGCAAAAATGTGACAGTGCCAAGAGTGAGATTATGGTGATTTTGGGGGATCTGGTCCAATAGTTATTTTGTTAAAGGTGACCAAAGCCCCACCTGTGTCTTTTTTGTAAGAGATTTGAGTTACTACGAAGGACATATTTTGCTAATCTTTCACCATTAGAACCAACCCTGACATCTAGAAGAGAATGAATGTTTGATGAATTAATGAATAAATGGATGACTACCAAGCAGTGGATGAATGAATGAACACGCACGGCTTTAGCTGGACTCCAGATGAATGGCTTTTGAATTTTTTACATTTCAAATTTTCCTGCAGACTTCCCAGTCATCAACGGACACACTGCATAGTAGAATCTGTACTCTGCAATGCCAAATGGGGTTGGAGTAAGGGGTGGGGAGAGAGAAGCTGTGAAGGTATTTCTCTAGTGGGAAAGAAAAAAAAAGGAATTCTAAAGGAAATAAGATGTCACATTTCCATAGAAAATTCTGTTGATGATAAAAGTTCAGTAAAGTCCTTCTCATTTGACAGATCTGCAGCCACAAATAAACTGAGCAATCACAGAATTGCCATTCCTTGGTTCTACAAGGAATCAAATCATCCAAGGGATGCTTTATTTATAACTCTACTAACTTGTAACTACTCAGCATTGCTTTATCTGCTTCTTTCACTAGTGTGATTCTCACACTGCAATTTGTTTCAGAAGTTAAAAGTTCTCCAGATTCAATGAGGCCAATAGTTAGGAATGTAACAAGAGTGATAATTAAACACGCACACACACACACACACACACCAGGCAATGGCATTCAACAACGCTGAGTCGCATAAAATGTGATAAAACTAGAAACACAAGCAAACAGAAATCTATCCATTTTTATACTCTCAGAGATACTGATGCCTACGGAAGCCAAAAAGCTAAATCAAAGTCACAGAACTAGTTGGTCACAGATATGTGACACGCTCATGAGGTCATGGATCAAGATTTCCCCTGCATGAGAGTGACATCTCAATATGTAAGGAAAACGAAATACATCAAAATTATGCATGACAATGTAAGATTTAGCTTCCAATTCGTATGCAGCCGACAATGATAATATCATTTGACACTGATTTAACGACAATCTATATTTGTAGGGTTTCTTTAAGTTAGAACTCCCTACACAGTTTGTAGTGGTTTTCAAATTACTCTCAGATGAGGCAGGTCATAGCAGCTTTTGTTTTGTTTGGTTTTGTTGTTTTTTGGGTTTTTTTGTGAGAGGCAAAGAACCTGGGACATTTTGAGAAATATCATTTGCTGAGTCAGTTAAAAAACCAATAGGTTAAAAATCTAAGACTTGGGTCTCCTAACTCCTAGTCCCTCAAACAAAGCAACAAATCCCACTGTGTCCAATTCACATGATTTACGCGATGGAAATTTCGCTGTTTGTATCTATACATGAATTAAAGCGACCCTATACACCCAAGCACTTCTTTGATTAGCCCATAGGATGATACCAACTTTACAGAAGTTACATACTTTTTCAGTAAAACGCAACCATGCTGTAAAAGAATTTCTTTGAAAAATGTCCATTTGTGGCCTTGGAGGAAGCTCTCATCGAGAACTCCTTGGGCCACAAATCCACTTTTTAGAAGAATCCCATCATAATGATCAACAGCAGGAGCGTCACGGACGGAAGCCATACAGTAGGGTCACAAGCCGAAGCCATGCTTGCACCCATCCTGCAAACAGCAGTCTAGAACCCAGAAATCAAACGTCGCATTCTGCTTGGTTGTTTGCAGCCGGTATGCCAGACCTGTTGCCCCGTGCCTCTCCCAAAAAAACTACTTTAAAAGATCTGGCATATCTTTTCAAAAGTATTCGATTATGTTATTATCCCGCAAAAATCTAGCGAATCGACATTTCAACGCTGAATCAAAGTGTGATTTTTCTGAATCAAAGTTTCACGAGGTGAACAAAAACATATGCTATCTAAGACAATGGACGAGAAAGATTTAATACCGATAATAAACCAATATTTATATTACTTAACTACCGAGCATATTTAAGAGAAAGGGCTGCTTTGTACAGTCTTAAGTTCCTTGCCATGTGAACAGGGTTTGGATGTATTAAAATTTAAATCCCTAAGAGTTTATGCGAACATATATCCACCTACCTATGAAACACATCCATTTCCCCATTATGTGACAAAATGACAGCTACTTAGAATGAGGGTGACTAGGTGAAATTATTTCCCTGTATGAAATTGACAGTAGGAATCCACAAGCATATGACTCAGTCTTTCGGATGTCCTCTATTCCAAAAGAAAATTGCATTTTTTTCTCTCCTACAGCAAGAACCATTTCTCAGACAGAACTGCTCTCTGCTGGTGGGTACAAAGTTACAGGGTTTGTTTACAACCGCAAGGGCAGGGCCCCTCACTGATTATACCTTCTTAGTACTCCAATTAGAAAACCACTGATTTGTGGGGATCAAGGGGAAACACACCCTTGGAGCCAGAACGAATAGATTCGGATTGCAGACTGCTCCTCAACCGCGGTGCAAGTTACCGTTTTCATATCCATTTTATTTTTTTTTTCTTTCGTTTTTAAAACTGGAAATTGAACATTCATCTCGTGGCCATCACAAATTCTCCTATTTCCCACACACGCGCGCACACACACACACACACACACACACACACCCCAAAATCTTTTGAAGTAAAAAAAACAAGAGGGGGTTTAAAGCTCTCCATCAGGTGCTACCTCAGCATCCACGCAGAAGCACCTGCCCTGCTGTAACCAAACCATCTGTTTAATGCCAGAGAACACATCCTAGGGTCCCTTATCGAATAAGAAAGGTACACTCCCTCTGCGCCTTCCACCTAACCGCGTCCGCTCTCCTCCGGGAACCGGGTGGGAAAGGAGATGGAGCACCTTGGTGGGAGATGAAAGATACCGCCTGAAACACAGGTAAACTCCCTGGCCACCCACCTCCCTGTGGCACTAATGGAAGATTTCCAGCTTAGTAAAAACGCTGGAGGGCGTCTCTCCTTGCCACACTCCAAGGGAACCTGTTCCAAAAGGTCAAAATCACAGCCTAAATTTAAAAAAAAAAAAAAAAAATTGATGCCCACCCGCAGGCGTTGGAGGTCCCTTTGCCCACCCCAGTTAGGGAGACCACAACGCACGGAGGTGCTATGTATGTGCGGGCCGAGCCGGCACGAATGCGCACGGGTAGGCGAACATACATGACCAGACATATAGACACCATGCTGTGCGTGCCTGTGCATGGTCGGCGACTCCGCAGCAGCAGCAGCAGCAGCAGCAGCAGCAGCAGCAGCAGCCGGGGGGCCGCCTCCCTTGGGCAGCCCCTGCGCCCTTGACAGGACAGCGGCGATCTGTCTCCTCTCCTCTTGGCTCAGCCGGCTCAGGTCCGCCTCCATGCCGGCAGGGAGTGCGGCGTGCACGGGGCTCTCCACCCCGCCGGCGCCTCCCGCCGCCGCCGCCGCCGCCGCCAGCCCTTCGGGGAGCGCTTCCCCTTCCAAGCTCGCCTCGTTGCCCATGGCTCAGGAAAAGACGCTCCTCGCGCAGCCTCCGGGTCGGGAAAGCCGCGAAGCCCCTGGGTCCACCCGCCGGGGCGTGCCAACGACCGACTCCGGGCAGGGCGCCGCCCGGCCCGAGACACCGGGCGCCAATTCAGTCTCGCTCGCAGGTGACGCCTGTCGCCGGTGCCTCCTCCATGTTGGGTAGCGCCAGGCAACCTTTGCAGAGGCCACCCCACGCACGTCGCCTCAGCACCCAGGGCCGGGAAGGAGCAGATCTGAGCGGTGACAGCCGGGCGCCGTCGGCGCCGCCCATCGCGTCCCGCCTCCCGGCCCGCGCCCTAGCCGTGCGCATGTGCTCCCCGGAACAGGTGATGCCCGCGCGCCCGCGCGCACCCCGCCGTGCGTCCGCAGCATCTGTGCGCGCCCTCGGCGCCCGTTTAAAGGAGCCGGGAGAGAGGGCCGTGCAAACGTGGGGCGAAACGGCCGACGTTTCCCTCAGGCATATTTCCGGATGCCTCAATCTGGAGTTTTGGCGGATCGGGATCCTGGCGAACGGGGAGGGAGGGGCGAAGGGGAGTGGTACCCGTTCTGCCTGCCTGCCAAGGCTCACGGGATTTGTAGTCTCTCACTCTTAACCCCCTAATCCCTCCTCCCGCTGCCCCTCCCCATCTGGAAGCTCTGGAGGGGGTTCCTGTTTTGGCCTGGCCATTTGTGAAGAGCTCCAGCAAATGCAAGATATTTTCTGACTCATTCTCTCACGCTGCCCCCACCCCCACCCCCCGTTCAATTCTGCCTTTCAAATCGGCAAATATTTCAAAAGCAAAAATGCCACCCAGCTGGTTCACGCAAGTAATACAGCTAAATCATTTTTCAGACACCGGCAGAGAGGGCCGTGGAAATGTGTCTAAATAGTTAGACACACACAGACTAACTATTGCTCTTGGTCAAGGTGGCTGTTTCAACTCCAGATCTGCCTCCCCAATTTTGCCACCTGCCTTTGCTGATAATGATGGGCTTATTGCCAGCACTGTTAACGCTCAAATCCAAGATCTGGAAACAAAACAAACAAAAAAAGTCAATGAAATAAATTGTAAAAGACGTAATTTTTCTAGGTGCTGCGATAGTCATCACATAGTTGGATAGTAGGTTCTACTTGGTGGAAAACTAAGAAGTGGCATCATGAAAACATTTTGTCGCATCGCTGTTAAATAAGAAATGAAGCGTCACTAAATTAAACTGTCATTTGAGTGCCTAACTGAAGCTTCAGTGAAAGACGGAGATGGAACTTCCAGCAACATCGCCTCATTCCTTCAACAAGGAAATGTTCTCTTTGCATGGCGAGCAATCAAGCAGAGACCACCCTACCTTCTGCTGGCCACATAGGCTCATTCAGAGGGGACGTGTGTCATCTTTGGTTCAAACAAGTATGTAACTCTGGGACAGGATACCTTGTCTCATGACACGTAGCTGCTTCGTGGTGCAAGCTCCGCTTGCCCATCAGTGACAATGGAGATGATGCACAGATAGAGATTTATGATCGAGTTTTGGGAGAAAAAAAAAATATGCTTAATGCATTCACATCCACTCACCAAAAACTGAAAAAAAAAAAATGATGCATACACTCTCAAACTCCAGCTTCAAAATAATGAGTTGAGAACTGTGGTGGTAAGCACACATCTCTTCTATTTTAGATGTAAAGAAGGTCGAAGTAATCAGAAGGAAAAACAGAGCTGGTCAACATGCCAAGGGATGTGGATAGGGAGAGCAAAGGTAAGGCTCAGATGAGAGTGAACGGACTGTGAAACACGAAATCTGATGGTGATGATGCCACTGAACAATACTTTCGCTATTCATATTTTAAACTGTTTTGCCTTTGGGGGAGTGAAATTCTGAGCTTTTCAGGAGTAGAAGGTACAGAGAAAGTCAGACGCTACGGATAATCTTATAGGACCTTTTTTTTTTTTTGGTCTATCTAGAAAAATATAATCATTACTATCATTATGCAAATGGCTAATGAAGCTGGATCAAATATCTTTGTGGATCCTTGCGCATTATGGCATTACTGTGTTGATCGTTACATTTAATCGGATGAATGGGCTTATAGATGGGATTTAATTCATTCAACCTTATGGTTGAGTATCTGAAAACTGCTGGGGTTATATAGTTATGTCCCTTGGAAATGACACATGAGCTTGCGCAAGACCAACCCTCTGGATCTTTTCCTTTTGTTGAATTCATGCCACACTTTCCCAGGCAGTTTCTGTTTTAGTAAGCAATCGCCAATGCAAACGTGATGATTCCCTGGAATGGGTGGTCTAGTCTAACCATGCAGAAACCATGCAACACAGGATAAGACCAAAAGACCATCCATGGGTCTGTGACCATAAATGCCAACACATGAATCAATGAGAAACTGAGTAAAAAAAATTACACATGAAATGCCATCAAATACAGAAAGATATGGTCTACTTAAAATAGTTATGATTAATATTTAATGGCATAATTTAATTCAACCTATTTGAAATAATGACCAAAGTCTATTTGGCAAGGAATACACCCCGCATCATTTTAAAAATTTCTATTCTGACCCTATTAAAGTCATTGTCATAGTAATGCTTCTGGGTCAATTATAAAATAGCACCTTTAAGAGCCTACATTTGAGAATATAAAAAGCAGTCAGGATTTCTAGGAAATAATTTAGTAAGAATTGCAGGGGTATGGAAAAGATGATCTGTAGTATACTTGGGCAAATCAGTCCTAAGCAAATCATTTGAGCTGCAAAAATATGTGAAAATGATATATACTACATCATTTATAACAATAAGTTAAATCAATCTTACAGCCATAAAAGGATGGAGAAGTAAAAGATGACAAAATTAGGTGTTAGCATTTCATAAAAGCCTTGCTTTAACATAATAATTTTTGTAAAAAAAAAAAAAATTATTTTTTTCCTTGGAAACTCAGAGTTACAGAGAAAAGGAGAGACAGAATGATCTCCTGTCCACTGGTTCATTCCCGAAGTGGCCACAACTGAGCCAATCTGAAACCAGGAGCCGGGAAACTCCTCCGAGTCTCGCATGTGGGTGCAGGATCTCAAGTCTTTGAACCATTTTCTTGTGCTTTCCTAGGCCACAAGCAGGGAGCTGGATGGGGAGTGGAGCATCTGAGACATGAACCAGCACCTACATAGGATCCCAGCATTGGAAAATTTGGTGCAAGGTGAAGATTTAGCTATTGAGCCATATCCTCTGGCCCTAAAATAGTGATTTTTTTTTAAAAAAGATTCTGTTATGAAAAATTCATTAACTCGGTTAACTACACAGGAGGCAATTTTTTATAGAGCTATATAATCATGAGAATACAAAGAATAGAAGAAATAAATCAAGCAAATAGGCATTGCCTGAATCTCAAAAATTTTTAAACCAAAATAAACGTCTTTTAGTTGCATTTTTTTCCCAAGAAAGTTTTGAAGTAATCTCCTACTCAGTGAAAACGAATCACAATTTTCCTTTTAATTTTATGTACTTTCCAAATTTTCCAAGGCAAATGTGTACTTTAGAACTTATATTAATAATTTTAATGAATTAACAAAAGCAAAAATAATATGGTCTGTTTTTTCTGAGGTACCAACATGCCAAGATTTTTTTTTTATAAAAAGGTTTTTTTATGCTTAAGAAGAATTTTTTTAAAGGACGTAGTATTAGAGAAGTCTTTTTTTAATAATAAATTAATTTTATTTGAGATGATGTGCAGATAGCTCAGGCAGATGCATGCCCATGTGGACCACTTCTTGTGTCTAGGGAAAGTGGGAACGGAAGGGGCATGGGCTGCTCCCAGCAGCCCAACTGCATTGGTGCCTGGGAATGTGGGGACAGCCACCTGATCTCATTCAAGCATCACTGATGAGGACCACGTTCCAGTATTGCTTAAGTGATGTGAAAAGTTCGGAAATGCTGTTGATTTCATTGATGCAGGGAAGAGGAAATCCTTCCAAGTTCCATTGGATAACATAGTCTACCCTAGAGTCTCCACTAATCCAAATACTTGCTTCAAAGCTTGGCCAGGAGAGGTGTCCATGTTGTTCTTCCCTCTATGGGTTGAGACACATGCTGTAGTCCTCAACAAACTAGTTGTTATGTTCCTCCATCTGCATCTGGACATGCCGTCTTCTGCACTGGCTTCAGCAACCAAAGAAACTTAGTTCTGACACATGCACTTCATGGTAAGAACACAAGTCATGTGATTTTCCATGTGGTTGGAGTTCTGGGTCCAGTGGTCCATTCATTCGGACAGTCTCCAAAGAATTTGCCGGAGGTGACCCCAGACCTAACTAGAGTGTGCCAGCCAATGTGGGCTCTGGCTCAGTCCATCACCTACCATGAGCTTACACACATACTAGTGGTTACAGAGCCCCAGTCAGTTCTGTCCTCAGGCCCATCTCATACGCAAACCAGGGGATGCTGAGGCTCAACTCATTCCTGCCCACCACGCCCTCATGCACACCAACAGGTACTGCAGCGGGAGTGAGTCCCAACCCACCAGGCCTGTCCCTGGCCCCAGTTCTTGCACATACTGGTATGTGCAGCAAACTGGTCCAATTGTCCTGAATCGTGATTGGCTATCATACTCATCAATGGGTGTTGGAGCCTAACTCAGCCTGACCAACCCCACTATCTAACCTACACTCATGATGGAGGGTGCCACTTCCTGCCCAGCCAGGTCTGCCCTCAGCCCTGGTTCTCATGCTCACCAGTGGGAGCTGCAACGCATCAGAGGGATGCCCACACTTTTCTAAATATCTTACTGCCAGCCCTGGATCTTGCAGTTTCCAGGTGGTTCTGTGATCTAGACTGACGGAATTTGGCCGTAGTCCCAGCACCTGCTAGCTGCATCTGTTAATAAGCTATACCAACCTGTTCTATTTCATGTATACACCAGTTAACCCGGCTCACATGCAGGCCAGTGGGTGTTGTAACCCTGCCTAGCCTGGTCTACCCACAGGCCTAGATCTTATACTT